TATGTATATTGTAGATCATGGTAATACTGTAGGACATTATGTATATTGTAGATTATGGTAATACTGTAGGACATTATGTATATTGTAGATTATGGTAATACTGTAGGACATTTTGTATATTGTAGATTATGGTAATACTGTAAGACATTATGTATATTGTAGATTATGGTAATACTGTAGGACATTATGTATATTGTAGATTATGGTAATACTGTTGGGCATTATGTATATTGTAGATTATGGTAATACTGTAAGACATTATGTATATTGTAGATCATGGTAATACTGTAGGACATTATGTATATTGTAGATTATGGTAATACTGTAGGACATTATGTATATTATAGATCATGGTAATACTGTAAGACATTATGTATATTGTAGATCATGGTAATACTGTAGGACATTATGTATATTGTAGATTATGGTAATACTGTAGGACATTATGTATATTGTAGATTATGGTAATACTGTAGGACATTATGTATATTGTAAATTATGGTAATACTGTAGGACATTATGTATATTGTAGATCATGGTAATACTGTAGGACATTATGTATATTGTAGATCATGGTAATACTGTAGGATATTATGTATATTGTAGATCATGGTAATACTGAAGGACATTATGTATATTGTAGATCATGGTAATACTGTAAGACATTATGTATATTGTAGATCATGGTAATACTGTAGTACATTATGTATATTGTAGATCATGGTAATACTGTAGTACATTATGTATATTGTAGATTATGGTAATACTGTAGTACATTATGTATATTGTAGATTATGGTAATACTGTAAGACATTATGTATATTGTAGATTATGGTAATATTGTAGGACATTATGTGTATTGTAGATCATGGTAATACTGTAGGACATTATGCTAGTGAAGGAGGGAAAGCAGATTGTTTAAACTGTTATCTACAACATGGTGGTAGATTAGATATAGAGAACAATAATGGTGATACACCATTAGATACCGCCAAACGCTCTGGACATCCTTTATTGATGCAGCAAGCAGGTGGGTAGCTTAATTCAACAAGTAACTTTATAATTTTAAAGCTATCATGGTTTCTTTGGAATGGAATTGATTTTATGTATCAAGATACTATATGTAGGAGACCTGTCTTCCATACTTAAAAAGCTCTTTAAATTAGTATACAAAACTAGGACTCATGGATTTACTAGCTTGTCCATTAATGAAATATTTTTTTGAAACATTATACATAATTTCATGATAGCTTTAAGGAAATTTGATTCAATTCAAGTGGGTCGAAGCAGAGAATTTCTTTGTGTATTCCTTTGTATTTTAAAAAATTTCCAGGCAAATATCCTAAAGCACCTGTGAAATCCCCTAAGGCACCATAGAGACCCCCAGCACACATCCAGACCACTCTCAAAGCACCCAAGAGATATTCCAAGGCACCCAAAGAGAACTAAGAGCCTGTGTTGACCTGAATGTTTGACCCATACTGATCCATTCTGACCTATGACTATTGACTACTCCCACGGCTATGCCTTTATTATTTCTGATGTATTTCAGTTAAAAATGAAATAACATGTGGTCCGTGCTTCCATCAATATAAACAAGTAGAATGGGCCAAATCCAAAAAATCCAACAAAGTGGAGAAAAATATCACCAGCGTTAAATCAATAGCTTATGTTTCTCCTCTACCTCCTCAAAAGTAAGTTATTATTGTCTTTTACTGCTTTCTATAGTTTTCAGATGTTATCCTTGTTTCAAATTGTTATCCTTGTTTCTGATGGTTATCTTTGTTTCAAATTGTTATTCAGATTGTTATCTTTGTTTCAAATGGTTATTGTTATCTTTGTTTCAGATTGTTTTCTTTGTTTCAGATTGTTATCTTTGTTTCAGATTGTTGTCGTTGTTTCAGATTGTTATTCAGATTGTTGTCTTTGTTTCAGATTGTTGTCTTTCTTTCAGATTGTTATTTAGATTGTTATCTTTGTTTCAGATTTTTATCTTTGTTTCAGATTGTTATTCAGATTGTTATCTTTGTTTCAGATTGTTATTCTTTGTTTCAAATTGTAATCTTTGTTTCAGATGGTTATTGTTATCTTTGTTTCAGATTGTTATCTTTGTTTCAGATTGTTATTCTTTGTTTCAAATTGTTATCTTTGTTTCAAATGGTTATTGTTATCTTTGTTTCAGATTGTTATCTTTGTTTCAGATTGTTATCTTTGTTTCAGATTGTTATTTAGATTGTTATCCTTGTTTCCGATTGTTAACTTTGTTTCAGATTGTTATCCTTGTTTCCGATTGTTAACTTTGTTTTAGATTGTTATTCAGGTTGTTGTCTTTGTTTCAGATTGTTGTCTTTGTTTCAGATTGTTGTCTTTGTTTCAGATTGTTATCCTTGTTTCAGATTGTTATCCTTGTTTCAGATTGTTATCTTTGTTTCAGATGTTATCCAGATTGTTATTCAGATTGTTATCTTTGTTTCAGATTGTTATTCTTTGTTTCAGATTGTTATTCTTTGTTTTAGATCGTATTCCTTGTTTCTGATTATCATCCTTTGTTTCAAATTGTTATCTTCCATTTCACATTGTTATGGATTGGCTTCTTAATTTCTCAAAAAGTCAATTTCAATTTGAATTTTCTTGGTTTTTCTTTCTTTTTATTGGAGAGGATATTTTTTAAAAAGTATTGGGAAATAGGCCATCTAACCCGTCACCCAAAACAATAATTATACTAGCCTACATATTTAGATTGATAAGGCTATAATTACATATTCAAAGTTCTTTTTTAGGAAATCAACCAGTCAGCTGCAAAAGAACCTGATTAAACATGGTTCTAAACAACAGCCAAATAAACAAACAGCTAAAAATAAACTACCAAGTAGAGATCTAGCAGCTCAATATTTCGGAGAACATCTAGATCCAAATCATACCTTTCAATTTCATATCTAGATCTTTATAAACATAAACATTATAAATATTCTTAAAATATTCTTACGGCATCTAATGTGGTGTACGATGCGTGATGATCGATACAGTAGAAAATAGAAGAAGTGAAGACACACGGTGCGGACATTATTCGCTTCTTCTATATTCTACTGTACCTGTATCAATAATCACACATCGGACACTGTGCCTCGCCTATTCGCGACGTTTAAGAGACATGTTCATCAAAATATTCTCGTTACTTGCAGCAATAAGCTGACACACCTCCATTTAAACTGTCTATATCAATGAATCAAATTGAACAAGATATGAAATTTCATCCTGAACAGTTGAATAATAGTTGAACTATCTGATGAAAATGAAAATATGAATGCTATGTTTTGTTTATTTTTCTGGGGCTACATGCTATCTATGATCTGTCGAGATTTTTGCTGGGCTTGGGTTCGTGTATTTTTACTATTTTAATTCAAATTGTATGTGCCTTTTTGTTTTTATTTTTATGATTGTAGAATATTTGTATTTACAAACTAGATCTGTGATATATATATATATATATATACTAGAAACTATATTAATTGTAGTCTTGAAAATGTCATCTAAATTCGGATTATATCCCTTAGTTTGTTAGTCAATCATCCATTGTTTTCTTCTCGATCGAAGGGTGTTAGGTACAGTAGTTTGGTTTACATCCCCAACTTCACCTCCACTTTATTTTAAACAAATTTAAAGATGGGTTTCCTTATTTTTTAGTATTAAATTATTTCATTAATTGATGTTTCTAATGAATTATCATGTATTCTCAATCATATCATTATGTTCTTATTGCATATAATTAAGAGTTTTAACCAATCATAAATGTCCATGTATATACAGTCTGGATAAATAAAAAAAAATTGTGACCTTTCTTTTTCGGTCACTCATTGGAATTCTGTTGGTAATTGTGTTCTAATTTAGTTAATTATGAATTAATTATGGACATGTGAGACAAACTGGTATTTTTCAAGTCATAAAAACACCTTTACTTTCTATTCATATAAATATTAGCATTTCATTTTCATCAATAAAAATAAGGGAACCCATCTTTAAATGTCTGATTTTGATGCTTTTCACCCGATTGTCAGAATGTACCAAAACAATTCAAATTTTCGAAAATTTTCTCGGGAGATCCTCCTCAGAAGGGCCCTCTTCCTGGAGGGCTTGCTGCTATGGCCCTTCCACAGAGTTACCCCTTTTAAATCGAGCCTCGACAGTTGTCCCCCCTATCCCAATGAAGTAGGTAGGTAGATGACAAGTTAACGTTCGCTTCCAGCGGATGCTGATATCGCAATCCCAATGAAGTCAGTCTCCCCCTCATTTATACCCCTAGTTTCGGGAGGTTGGCGCCGCCAGTGGTTTAGGAAAAACCTTATATGGTCTGGGGGTACAAGTAGACCCATAGCTAAGACTACCCAAGACTGCCCCCAACCCCATCCTCTGAAACGGAAAGTCTTTCAAAATAACAGCAATACGGAAGGGAAGGGAGATGTTTATTCCGCAATTTATCACTTCCACGCAATTTAACTCGCAACATGAAACCATATTTTACCTCTCAAGCTGGGACATTATTAAATTGCAGATCAGTTAATCGGCCGAGAGGGTTTCAAATTGATTGTTTCTGTACACGTCTGTTGGAAAATGGCGATACAATCAAGTAAACGAGAAAATTATTTCGTGGAGACAATAATCATCAATAAAATGTCAGCTACAGTTGTCTGATTGGAACACGAGAAAACTTCAAGAGAAGCGTCTAGGGCCATAATTCACTGGTTAGAGGAAACGTCTAAATCCCTGAGCGCCGGCGACTGATACCGCCATGCAGGGTTATGGTCGTGATAAATGGCAAAGCGGATTACAGCTTGGCCTGTAATTGAATTTCGATACACCGATCACCATCTCGTGGGGTCTGTGTGTGATGTCCAGGGACAGACAGATCGAATAGTTTTAAAGGAAATATTAACTACATCTCGTCTCTATTTCTATTTGTTGACAATTGTCTTGAAAGATTTACTGTGAGTTTATAAATGACTTTCTATGATGTTTAGTTAGTTAATAATAACTAGTCGTTTACCATCACTTCTTTACTGTTTTCTGAATTTTTCGATATTTTTTAAAAGAATTGGAATATCAGCCTCAAAACAGTACTGATAGCCTTAGAATGTCTTTGCGTTGATAAAAATATAATATTTTGTAAGTTTACATTGAAACAAAACACATTTCTCTCCTAGAAATTTCAACCCCAATTCAGTCACAAATTTTGTCCTCTGTAAAAACAAATTTTGAAGACATAATGTGCTCATGTTTATATTTTCATCAACGCAAAGACATTCTAAGACTGTACATTCTAAACTGTCAGAACTATTTTGAGGCTGCTTTTCTTATTCTCATAAAAAATATTGGGAAAAATAAAAAAAATCTTTGGTCAGACAATAGTTATATGAATATAGTTGTCAACTGACAACCGGTCGAATATTACAATGTCAATGACAACATAATTTTTAGGAAACTTTAATTACCAGACAAACGACAATCAAACTTAACCTCATTAGTCCAGTGTTAGTGTTGCTTGTCTTTTGGGACAAAAAGATGTTTTTTAAGTTTTTTTATTTACAGGAATTAATGTTTACTAAAACTAAGAATCCTACAGTGGTGGAATCAGGAGGTGGGTCACTGGGCTATAACTAGATTACTACTTTCTCTACAGTAATTTATAGAATTTTATTGGGTTTGATAACGGGTAGCGAAATGAAATGAAATGAATGGAGTTTTACGTCCTACTTTTCTGCACCATGTGGGCTAATGAAGACGGGCAACGCCATGCAGGGTGAAGTGAGGAATATTTTGTCAGGACAGCGGCATTAGCCTGCTCTTTTTCGATTTCCAACTGTCGAGGGAGATTTAACGTGCACAGCCTGTAGCACACGGGCGCCTGGTTTATTGTCCCATCCGAACAACTAGACGCTTTTTCCATGTCAGCTCCTCGTACCTGAATCACTGACAGGGGGAAACCGGGTTGATAATAGATAGCAGGATGAATGAAATGATATAATATACTCTGGAAAATAACA